TGCCATGTAAAAAGTCAGGGGTCTGCAGCTCATTGGACCTGGGATGACAGTTGACCTTCTGGTTCGGAAATTAGCTTATCTCTAGTTTCAAACGCAATCTAACTACCCAAGTGATCATTTCTATGACGTGGAGGGCAATTAGAACCACTATACTCTAGTACTTTACCTTTGTCCTCAGCTTTTTCCATGTCCTTCCTATTAGCAGCCAAAATCTCATCTCTGTGATCGGTCAGTAAATCGGCCAGACGATAAATGACTTCTGCTCTCTGTCGTGAAAACACAATTTTATATAGAGTTGTAAGATACCTGTGATAAAGAATCATCACTGATCACGCAATGAACTAGAAAGGATTCACTGATCTGACATGAGAACATTTTATATCCACATTTCAATCTTGTTTCAACTGCTGCATTTTGCATGCTATACCATGATAAGGATCTTCCCTGCCCTTGCTATGTTATAGCCCAGTGTTCTCCGGATGTGGATTGCTATGCCTTTATCCAGCCCTTGGGGCACTGTTCCTCCCTACTGACACAAACAATGGGACAGCATTCTGTCCACTGATACCAACAATGAGGTACTATTGCTCCCACTGACGCCAACGATGGGGCGCCATTGCTGCCAATGACGCCAACGATGGGGCGCCATTGCTGCCAATGACGCCAACGATGGGGCGCCATTGCTGCCAATGACGCCAACAATGGGGCGCCATTGCTGCCAATGACGCCAACAATGGGGCGCCATTTCTGCCAATGACGCCAACAATGGGGCGCCATTTCTGCCAATGACGCCAACAATGGGGCGCCATTTCTGCCAATGACGCCAAAAATGGGGCGCCATTTCTGCCAATGACGCCAAAAATGGGGCGCCATTTCTGCCAATGACGCAAACAATTGGGCGCCATTTCTCCCAATGACACCAACAATGGGCCACCATTTCTGCCAATGACAAAAACAATGGGCGCCATTTCTGCCAATGACGCCAACAATGGGGCGCCATTTCTGCCAATGACGCAAACAATGGGGCGCCATTTCTGCCAATGACGCAAACAATGGGGCGCCATTTCTGCCAATGACGCAAACAATGGGGCGCCATTTCTGCCAATGACACAAACAATGGGGCGCCATTTCTGCCAATGACACAAACAATGGGGCGCCATTTCTGCCAATGACACAAACAATGGGGCGCCATTTCTGCCAATGACACAAACAATGGGGCGCCATTTCTGCCAATGACACAAACAATGGGGCGCCATTTCTGCCAATGACACAAACAATGGGGCGCCATTTCTGCCAATGACACAAACAATTGGGCGCCATTTCTGCCAATGACACAAACAATGGGCGCCATTTCTGCCAATGACGCCAACAATAGGGCGCCATTTCTCGTAATGACACCTACAATGGGGTACTATTCCTCCCAGTGGTCCAAGTTTACACCAACGCAGTGTGTTCCAGTGCAGTCAACAGAAGTAGAATGTGCTGCAGTTATGTTCTGTATGGAACACTGCAAAACACATCAAAAACACAGAAAAGCGCATGTTCCTAATTAAAATTAGGGAAATAAAAACAAAACGCATGTAAACATGTATGCAGAAAGGCACCCATAACAGGGGAAATTAGGTGTGTGAACCAGTCCTGAGTGCCAATAGTGGCTTGACAGTTCTACCTGCCAAATAGATACAGGAGCTGCAATTCAAACCACAAAACTTTACTAAGCTAGCTATCCAGGAACTACATTACACACAGAAATGTTTAGCTAACAATAAGACAGGAAATGTTTAGCATTCAATAATTAAAGTATAACTAATAACAAAACTTTATTTTTTTTAGTTTTGGACATTGTGGAGAAGGATTAGAACATCCGTCAGGTTTTTATAGCAGTTTTTTTTTTTGCCCCCATTAGGAAGATTTATCCTTTCTATTTGTCCTGTATACCATTATTGAAAGTGAAAGGAAACCCCAAAATTTGGGTTGTCACCAGAACAGTAATACAGAGAAATCTTCCAATACGGAGTTCTGGTGCCAGACCAGGACAGGATTTCCTCAATTTGGAAAGATTTCCTCTTACTTCTTGTTTTGGCTATAGGACAGGAAGTGAAGGCAAATCTCCCCAATGGGACACAGATGGCAAAAAAAAAAAAAAAAAAAAACTGACAGTAGTTATAACTAACTGCACTGTCCAAAATTATGAAATGTTGGCTTTAGTTCTACATTAAAGGTACAGTTATATTGAGTACCAAGAGAATAATGCTTCTATTCTTTATCCCCACTTCCAGACCTGGAGGTTGCCTACCAGTTGGAGTAATGTTCTACACACCTGTTCTGGCTGCAGAGTAGACAAGTTCCTACCACCAGTCCGAGCCATCTCAGCCTGCTGCTCCACAGTAGGTCCTAGAAAATACAACAAAAGGCAGTCGTTAAAAAACGACCCTCACCTATGCTTCACTATTTGCTGTTATTTGGATCTGGAATTGAAAAACGCTGCAGCAAGATGTTCAGGTCTGAAATGGCATTGATGCCAAACAGAAAATGAGCACCAACCAACGCAAGTCAGGAACCAAACATCACCCCCTTCATCAGGGCTTGTTGAGATTGGCTGATTAAACCAAATGCTGAACCTTGATGTATTACTACACTTAAAAACTTCCATTTCAGATTCTAACATTTTGGTGTGGTGCTTCAATTTCAGATTCAAATATTCCCTTCTCAACCCAAGGCTACTGTAGTAACATTTCGGTGTGTGGAAACTATCAACCTACCCCCTGGATGTCCCACAGGGGTATCATCAACATACCACTGATGTTAATGTAAATTCAAAACTGTCATCCAAATTCACCATCTACCCCTGATCACTACTTACAGACTCACTGGCACAGGACCAGCATGTGCATATCAAGTATCAGGATGTGTAATATATTGTCCGGGTCAATATCTCCTAAGGTAGTGCAGCAAAGAAAAGGATGAAAGCCCCATTAGACACACATTCAAATACAAGTCAGCAATAGAAGTCTACAAAATTATTACCCCAACAGTTCTTTTAACCACTTCCCATCCGGCCCATGTATATAAACAGCTGGACAGGAGCAGTGCAGGGGTGGGTGGCCGTTTATAAACATCCTCCCCGCTTCCCTGCTTGTGCGCGCGCCCGTGGAAGCACGCAGCACCGCGATCCGGTCCTCCGGAAGCGGAACAGATTGCTGTATGAGACCTATGTGTGAGGTCCCGATCATGTGATCACAGATTGGCCAATCAGTGATCACAGGAATAGTAGTAAGCAAGATGTCACTTCTGACATCATTGCTTACCATGTGTGAAATCTGTGAATGATCACAGAGGTCACATGGTACAAGGCTATTCACAACAGCCCTGTACCATGTGACAAGCTGTGACCAATCGCAGCTCACACAGTATTTCTCAATGGACAGCCAGAGAGGAGAAATGATTGCTTTTACAGCCTTTATGGCAATCAGTGTAAAAAAAAAAAAAAAAATCATCACCCCCCACAAGTAGGACAGTGTCACTATGGTGACACTGTACTGGTAGGGTGACAGTATGTTAAAAGGAAAAAGAAAATTAAAATTATACAAATAAAAAATGTAAAAAAAACATTTTTTTGAAAAATTATAAATTTTCAGTTGTACACTAATTTGGGTTATTTTTTTTTTTTTTTTAACTAAAAAGATAACTGAATACATTTTGGCCAAGATGTATGAAGAAAGTTTTTTTTTTGCATAATTTTATAGGAAAAACCCTTTTTTCAAAATTTTTGGACTTTTAATTTATATAGCAAAAAAATAAAAATCCCAGTGGTGAATAAATACCACCAAAATAAAATTTTCTGTTTCAAAAAAATGCTAAAAAAGTCATATGGGTACAGTGTTGCATGACCGCACAATTGTCATTCAAAGTGTGATAGCACTGAAAGCTGAAAATTGGCCTGGGCAGGAAGGGGGTGAAAGTGTCCGGACATGAATGGTTTAAGGCTGAATTCAAGACATACCAAAGACAAATTAATGCAGCTATGTAATCAATGTAATTATAGATCTGTAATAATACATTAAAGTGGAAAACAAGGAAAACATAAAACAATTCACTTTTATTGTACAAAAGTTACTAAAAACAGATTGAAAATTATAAATCACACATTGCATGAAAATTCCATGACAATTGTCAAAATCGTCAAGCCACATGGGGTGATACAAGGCCTCTAAATTTGAACATCCCACTGATGAGTTTCAACTGCTGCAGAGCATTGATGTATAGAGTGGCAGAGTTAGGAGAGAACAAAACAAAAACTTAAAAAAAAAAAAAAAAAAAAAAAAAAGAGATATATATTATTTTTTATGTTTTGCTCCCTCCTAACTCAGCCACATGTGCCAATCCTTTGCATCCCTTGTGTTTGCTCTGATCTGCTGTGTGGGCCCATGTTATGACTGCATTCATGGAAGCTGCCATTTAACCACTTCCTGTCCAGACGCTTTTCACCACTGGGATTTTTTTTTTTTTTTCCTATGTAAATGAAAAAGTCCAAAAATTTTGAAAAAAAAGTGTGTTTTTTTAAATAAAATTTCGCGAATAAATAATATTTCATCATAAATCTTGCCAAAATTTATTCCGTTATTTTTTTAACAAAAAAAAATCCAAATTAGTTTATAACCAAAAATTATAATTTTTAAACTTTTTTTTTACATTTTTATATTATTTTTTTTTTTTTTTTACATACTGTCACCCTAGCATGGTGACACTGTACTACTTGTGGGGGGTGATGAAGATTTTTTTTTTTTTTTTTTACACCGATTGCTTTTACACCCATATAGGATGTAAAAGCAATCATTTCTCTTTCTCTCTGTCTGCATTCTTACAGTCATTGAGAAGTACTGAGTGAGCTGTGATTGGTCACAGCTTGTCACATGGTACAAGGCTGTTGTGAATAGCCTTGTACCATGTGACCTCTGTGATCATTCACAGATTTCACACGTAGTAAGCAATGATATCACAAGTGACATCTTGCTTACTACTTTGCATGTGATCACTGATTGGCCAATCAGTGATCACATGATCGGGACCTCGTACAGAGGTCCCGTCCGACGATCGGTGTTTCACTGTGTCCGGAGGACACAGCGGGCACTGGATCGCGGTGCTGTTCGCTCCCAGGGAGCGCGCACAGCTAGAAAAGGCGGGTGCTGTTTATGAACGGCAACCGCCCCTGGACTACCACCGCCCTGCCCTTTATAAACAGCAGGCAGACGGCAAGAGGGTAAATTATGGTTTCTCCAAGTGTATATGGAAATTTTCCCCAAATGTATTATTTGTTTTGGGCAAAACGGAGATGTTTATTTGAAACGGTTTCTACTATTGCTGTTATATTATTTGTAGCGTTCATATATACATCAACCCCCTGAAGACAGATACAAGTTGAAACGCGTCAGGTTAGTGTTCATATTTAGGGGCCTTGTATCACCCATTGTGGATTGATTTTGACAAACAGAATTTTCTCATTCAATGAATGTGTGATTTATGATGATTGTCAATCTGATTTCAATAGCTTTTGTACAATAAACGTTGTTTTATGTGTGTTGTATGAATGTCTTTATGGTGCCTGAAAATTCACATCCATTTTCTTTTATTTTGTACCATGTCAAGGGATGTGGCACCATACTACTTCATAAGCATGGATTGAGTATAGTTGGTAACATATTAAAGTGGAAATCCAGTCATAAGCAAACTAAAAACTTAAATCTACTCCCACCCCCATCCTAAGCCCTATGCTAACTATCCCATAAAAAGAAGATGTGTATACTTACCAAATATAAGGGCAGTCTGGTCCAGTCACGTGATCTCTGGGTAGAGGAGAGAGCAGTGACAACAGTAGTGATTTCACCCATAGACTTACTATGGGGCATCCTTTTTCCACTGTTCCTCCTCTCCCCTGAAGCTGGCATTGGGATCTGATCATGTGACTGGACTGGAGCACCCTTAGATTAGTTTAAATATACACATCTTTCTGTTACAGGGAACTTACAACAGGGTTTAGCTTGGAGGCGGGGTAGTCAGGTTGAGTTTTGCTAGCTTTTGACCGGACTTCTAATGGACTGAGATGCAAGTAAGGTTGTAAAGAGGACTGGGGTACAAGGAAGGGGGGCTCTGAAGTGAACTGGAGTACAAGGAAGGGAGGCTGTGAAACAGACTGGAGTGCAAGCAAGGGGGGTTGTAAAGGGGACAGATGTAAGTAAGGGGCTGTAAAGGGGACTGGGGTGCAAAAAAGGGGGACTAAGGGGACTGGGGTGCAAAGAAGTGGGACTGTGAAGTGGACTGGGGAGCAAGGAAGGGGGGATTGTGAGGACTGGGGTGCAAGGAAGGGGGGGGGGGGCTGTAAAGGGGACTAGGGTGCAAGTAAGGGGGGCTGAGAAAGGGACTCGGGTGCAAGGGGGGGCTGTGAAAGGGACTCGGGTGCAAGTAAGGGGGGGCTGTGAAAGGGACTCGGGTGCAAGTAAGGGGGGGCTGTGAAAGGGACTCGGGTGCAAGTAAGGGGGGGCTGTGAAAGGGATTCGGGTGCAAGTAAGGGGGGGCTGTGAAAAGGACTTGAGTGCAAGTAAGGGGGTGCTGTGGAAGGGACTCGGGTGCTAGTAAGGGGGGCTGTGAAAGGGACTTGGGTGCTAGTAAGGGGGGCTGTGAAAGGGACTTGGGTGCTAGTAAGGGGGGCTGTGAAAGGGACTTGGGTGCAAGGAAGGGGACTGAGATGCAAGTAAGGGGGGGCTGTAAAGGGGACTGGGATTTAGGTAAAGGGGTGACAGAGTACACTAATGTGAAGGGGAGAGGGACTGATGTGAGGTGGGGGGAGACTCGGACCTCTGCTGGATGAAACTTTTAATGATCGGACCGCCATGAATTTTAATACAATATCCCTGATGTATAAGATACAATAAGAACTTTATCAACTATTATTTCATATTGTACAGTACAGCCAGCATTAACACAAGCAACAAAAGAGCAGCTGGCTGCACCAGCATTAGTAAAACTATTATTCTAGACGATACCAGACAGTCCCTGATCAGCTGACGCATTTTACCCAGAAAGAACATAGTCAGAGATGAAGGGAAGAAAGCAGGAAGAAAACACTTTACCTATTCTAGATAGATTTTAAGTTTGAGATATAAGGGAAAGGAAGCAAGTGGAAAACCTTTACCTAAAATAAATATATATATATATATATATATATATATATATATATATATATATATAATATATATATATTATATATATATATATATACACACACACACACACACACACACACATACACACATACATACATACCATACATACATATACACACACATATGCATACACACACAGCAAAAACATGCCCAATCATAACAGTATATGGCATAACAAATGCAATTTTCTATATTTAAAAGGATAATAACCTGCCACAACACACCTTTATTATTTGAAAGGACTGAGGCCTGGATCTGCTGAGCCCCAATTGTGAATCATTTAGTTTTTCAACTCACCAGCTGGTTTCACTTCGGAAAAGAAAGTGCCTACTTTCTTTCCTTCCACGATGTCTGTGATCACATGACCAGATATTTTTAGGATGAGTGCCATTGGCTATCACCACCGAGGTGCCACCTTGAAGGGCCCACAAAGCGGCTTTGACCTAAAGAAAGGTTACAGTCTACTTGTATATAAAAACGAGCAGGTAAGCATGTGAAATTAAAAATGTTATTACTTTGAGTTGTCTTACTTCTCAGTGCATAACAATGAGCATTTATTACACATGTGCATATAGGCGCTTTTCAAAAACTGATAAAAGGAAAAAATGAATAGGCCATACCTTTGCCTCCATGCCTCCCATACCAACTCTTGATTTATTTCCAAATGTCACAGACTGCTGATCTCCTGGGTAAAATATGTCGATGAGTTTGGCATCATCTGACCCTGGGGGGCTGTCAAAAAGGCCTAAAAACAGAAAGTGAAAGCAATCATTTATCATGCAATGTGTTCCAGCATAGAGATCCTGAAGGGTGGCTGCCATGTAAGAAAGATTGGGGCTACCACTGCTAATTCCTAATAATCCTAATTGCTTGGCTGTTATGTTAACCCTCTGGCTCAGTGATCGCTGCCCAAAGTATACCGATCATTCACTTTACTTGTTGCATGCTTGTAACAAGTCTATGATTCAGAAAGTACTGTCCTTAACCCCTTCAGGCCTAAGGGTAAAACAAATCTAAATGCCTAAACACAATTTTGCAACCGTGACACGCGTTAGTAAAACCGTACATATCATAACAACTACTTTGTACAACCAGGTGGATTATACCGTGTTTTTCCCAGGACAAATTGGGATTTCATTTGGTGGTAAATGGTAATGGATATCTCCAGATTTTTTTTTTTTATTATCAAAGGAAAACTGGTCCAAAATAGTAAAAATAAAATCATTCTTTTTATTTAGCTGTGTGTTTCTTTTTACTACCATAACCTACCACCAAAGAACAACCCCAAATAAATTCTCCAGCTCTTGACGATCGCAGAGATACCATATATGTGTATGTTATTTGCTGCTTGTACCCGTAGTACAGCCCAGAAACAATAGTGCACATTTTGTTTTTTGTTTTTGTTTTTTTTAACCTAAAACACACTGACATTGACACCAATTTTTTTTTTATTATTAAAAATCCTGACCTTTGACCCCGGCCTTTTGACCTTGACCCAAAACACTAACCTTGGCACCGAACTAGCTCAAACCTTAGGTATTTTATTTTTTAATATTTTTTTTTTTTACAAACATTTTTTTTCTCTATGCCAGGGGTTAGAGAGATACAATGTATCTCTCTTCTCCATTCACAGAGAGAGAGAAAAAAAAAACAAGGGGTCCGGGCTGTACAGTGACTGATCACTATGATAGCCAATCAGAGGCTCACAGCGTTCATGTGACACGGAATCGGGAGTCCCGGGTCCCGAGGCTCTCAGTGATATCGCGGTCTGTGCGCTGGGAGCACGCTGTGCGGCGCATTTCCAGCACAAATACAAGTACGTAAATATGCAGCCCCACGGAAAAAAGCCCAGTTCCGTGAGGCCGCATATTTGTGTCACGTCGGCGTCAAGGGGTTAAGATGACCATACAACAGAAATTTTAATAGGAGGTCAACAGAGTCAGCCTACGCATTTCTTCTTGATACAGCACATTTGTACAGCTCAGAGGTAGAGACACACAACGGTGCAAGGCATACTGGTTGAATGTTTGCATAGAATGCACGAAGGTAAAACAAACCTTGAGTCTTTACAACCGCTTAAACTAAAAAACTTCTGAAATTTTACTACCACTCTAAGCAAGCCAAGGAGAATTATTTTCAAATGTTCGTATAGAAATTCTGAAAAAGTATTGGTCAGAGCATGCGATAATACACCGTATTTTTCGCTCCATAAGACGCACCTGACCATAAGACGCACCTAGGTTTTAGAGGCAGAAAACAGGAAAAAAAATTCTGAACTAATGGACTGCAGACACAGTACAGGAGATGACCAGGGACTGCGGACACAGTACAGGAGATGACCAGAGACTGCGGACACAGTACAGGAGATGACCAGAGACTGCGGACACAGTACAGGAGATGACCAGAGACTGCGGACACAGTACAGTACAGAGACTGCGATGACCAGAGACTGCGGACACAGTACAGGAGATGACCAGAGACTGCGGACACAGTGCAGGAGATGACCAGAGACTGCGGACACAGTGCAGGAGATGACCAGAGACTGCGGACACAGTGCAGGAGATGACCAGAGACTGCGGACACAGTGCAGGAGATGACCAGAGACTGCGGACACAGTGCAGGAGATGACCAGAGACTGCGGACACAGTGCAGGAGATGACCAGAGACTGCGGACACAGTGCAGGAGATGACCAGAGACTGCGGACACAGTGCAGGAGATGACCAGAGACTGCGGACACAGTGCAGGAGATGACCAGAGACTGCGGACACAGTGCAGGAGATGACCAGAGACTGCGGACACAGTGCAGGAGATGACCAGAGACTGCGGACACAGTGCAGGAGATGACCAGAGACTGCGGACACAGTGCAGGAGATGACCAGAGACTGCGGACACAGTGCAGGGGATGACCAGAGACTGCGGACACAGTGCAGGGGATGACCAGAGACTGCGGACACAGTGCAGGGGATGACCAGAGACTGCGGACACAGTGCAGGGGATGACCAGAGACTGCGGACACAGTGCAAGGGATGACCAGAGACTGCGGGGACAGCACAGGGATGACCAGAGACTGCGGGGACAGCACAGGGATGACCAGAGACTGCGGGGACAGCACAGGGATGACCAGAGACTGCGGGGACAGCACAGGGATGACCAGAGACTGCGGGGACAGCACAGGGATGACCAGAGACTGCGGGGACAGCACAGGGATGACCAGAGACTGCGGGGGACAGCACAGGGATGACCAGAGACTGCGGGGACAGCACAGGGATGACCAGAGACTGCGGGGACAGCACAGGGATGACCAGAGACTGCGGGGACAGCACAGGGATGACCAGAGACTGCGGGGACAGCACAGGGATGACCAGAGACTGCGGGGACAGCACAGGGATGACCAGAGACTGCGGGGACAGCACAGGGATGACCAGAGACTGCGGGGACAGCACAGGGATGACCAGAGACTGCGGGGACAGCACAGGGATGACCAGAGACTGCGGGGACAGCACAGGGATGACCAGAGACTGCGGGGACAGCACAGGGATGACCAGAGACTGCGGGGACAGCACAGGGATGACCAGAGACTGCGGGGACAGCACAGGGATGACCAGAGACTGCGGGGACAGCACAGGGATGACCAGAGACTGCGGGGACAGCACAGGGATGACCAGAGACTGCGGGGACAGCACAGGGATGACCAGAGACTGCGGGGACAGCACAGGGATGACCAGAGACTGCGGGGACAGCACAGGGATGACCAGAGACTGCGGGGACAGCACAGGGATGACCAGAGACTGCGGGGACAGCACAGGGATGACCAGAGACTGCGGGGACAGCACAGGGATGACCAGAGACTGCGGGGACAGCACAGGGATGACCAGAGACTGCGGGGACAGCACAGGGATGACCAGAGACTGCGGGGACAGCACAGGGATGACCAGAGACTGCGGGGACAGCACAGGGATGACCAGAGACTGCGGACAGCACAGGGATGACCAGAGACTGCGGACAGCACAGGGATGACCAGAGACTGCGGGGACAGCACAGGGATGACCAGAGACTGCGGGGACAGCACAGGGATGACCAGAGACTGCGGACAGCACAGGGATGACCAGAGACTGCGGACAGCACAGGGATGACCAGAGACTGCGGACAGCACAGGGATGACCAGAGACTGCGGAGAGCACAGGGATGACTAGAGACTGTGGATAGTACAGGGGATGACTGCTGACCTTTGGGGAGGGGGGGGAGTGGGTACCTGAATTTGACAGATACCCGCTCCCACTTCCGCGGAGTTGTTCTTTCATCTTACCTGTTCCTCTATCCAGCCGCTCGCTGTCTTCCCGGCTTCTGTAATGGCGCTCGGCATGACAGCCGGGTGCCCAGTGCGCATGAGCGAGAAGCACTTGCGCTTTGTGATTGGTCCGGCGGCTTCTGGGATCTGTCATGTGTCCCAGGTGCCGCCTTACCATTCACAAAAAGCACCCGCTTCCTGCGCATGCGCACTTGGCACCCGGCTGTCATGCCCACACTACAGAAGCCGGGAAGACCGCGCCGCTAGATAGAGGAACGGGTAAGATGAAAGAACAACTCCACGGAAGTGGGAGCGGGTATCTGTCAAATTCAGGTACCCGCTCCCCACCTCCCCAAAGGTCAGCAGTCATCTCTATAAGGTCTTGCTGTAGAGCTGAGCGGCCGGCCCGGTATTCTGACACGGCGGCAGTGGAAATACCGGACCGGCCGCTCCATATTCGCTCCATAAGACACACACTGACATTTTCCCCCCTTTTTTGGGGGGAAAAAAAGTGCGTCTTATGGTGCGAAAAATACGGTAAATGACAAATTTCAGTAGAAAGCTCTAAAAATTTCATTTGATGGTCATGCCCAATGGTTTGAATTTTAATGTTTGATTTCGGAATGCATAGGGGCGATGTAATGTTTATGCATGTGACTCTAGCACATCTCATATATGAAAGAAATTAACATTTGTGATAAAAGCGTCCTACCTCACCTAGCACATGTGCATCACAGAAAGAATGATTTTTCAAACCGGAAACCCCAATTACATTTGGGGATTTTTCTTATCACAATGTTCATAAATGATCAAAATGTTCTCATTAACCATTCAAAAATTGAAAAAAAATGACCATTTTTAATGAAATCCTAACCATGTATGGCTAGCTTTCAGTCACAGCAGATTAGCTTCTACTTCACTCCCATCTAAAACCCACAAAAGTCTGTCCCAGAAGAGGCTATTTTGCATTTAAATGAAAAAATGAACATTTAATTGAAAAATTACATCATCCCATTTATGCGTCATTGCCTAATTTATAGTCCTTACCCCAGACAGTTTATGACCTGGCTCTAAGAAAACCTAGAAAGTATTGATTGAGCAAGCTCTGGACACTCCCAACAACATGCAGAGAACGCAGTTGAACTAGTTCAGTCCTAATTGCTGGCAGAGAGAACAACCATTTATCACTACCTTCCACATCTGAAAGAACGATGATCAAGTCTGCTTTCATCTCAACAGCCAGCCGAGCAGCCAAGCTGTCATTATCCTTTATGCTGATCACCTGTGGAGATATGCAAGGTCAGGAGGAGAGAACATCTTACACCATGGTTCTAGATCAGGGGTCTCCAAACTATGGCCCTCCAGCTGTTGAAGTACTACAAGTCCATTCATGCCTCTGCGAGTCTTGCAAAGCCTCCTGGTACTTGCAGTTCCTCAACACCAGGAGGGCCATAGTTTGGAGATTCCTGTTCTACATGAAAGAAGAGATCTGGATTTGAATGATTAGTATATGTCAAGAAAAATACAGCAAAGTAAGCAAGCAAGCGAGCAGCATGTTATGTAGTGCAGGAAGACTCAGTGATGTCACATTGGATGCAGGGTCCAGGTCTAGCTGGTGGAATGACCCAATATACATACATAAGACCTTGTCCCACACTGAGCCTTGGAAAGCAAAAAAAAAAAAATCATGAGGTTTAATAAAAAAAAATTTAATTGAGACTTCCTTAATGTGTTCAGATCACATTGGACAAAGTGCATGCAGTACTTTGTCCAATCTTCCTATGTGCTGTATTAGGCTATGTAGCAAGCATTTGGCGCCACTCGAGGCTGGAAAGGACACAATCACCTCACCAGCAAGGAAGAGGGGAGCAGCGTCCCAAATTATACCAGGACTTAGGCAGTGTGCAGAAAAGGAGGATGGACGTGGC